ATAAACAGAGAGCAAACCCCACTCCCTTCTAATACTGATGGTATACGTAGTTCGGTAGTGAAACTTCTGAAATAAAACAAGCTCATGGAGACTAAGGACTACATTAATAATAATAATAATAATAATAATAATAATAATATATTATTATTATTATTATTATTATTATTATTATTATTATTATTATTATTATTATTATTATTATTATTATTATGTAAAGTTGGAAGGGACCTTGAAGGTCATCTAGTCCAACCCCCTGCTCAGGCAGGAAACCCTATACCATTTCGGACAAATGGCTGTCCAGTCTCTTCTTAAAAACTTCCAGGGTTGGAGCATTCACCACTTCTGGAGGCAGGTTGTTCCACTGGTTAATTGTTCTAAATGTCAGGAAGTTTCTCCTTAGTTCTAGGTTGCTTCTCTCCTTGATCAGTTTCCATCCATTGCTTCTTGTCCTGCCTTCAGGCGCCTTGGAAAATAGCTTGACTCCCTCTTCTTTCTGGCAGCCCCTGAGAGATTGGAACACTGCTATCATGTCCCCCCTCGTCCTTCTCTTTATTAAACTAGACATACCCAATTCCAGCAGCCGTTCCTTATATGCTTTAGCCTCCAGTCCCCTAATCATCTTGTTCAACCCCAAGCTACAAATATCCTCTTGTTTTGCTATTATGGAAGTGCTTGAAGCTAAGACATAAACACTGAATAGCAACAGTGTGGGAGCAATTATGATGTGGGGAGGCCAGCAGGAAGACAATACACACATCATAACTGTACACAGCCCTGGCAGTTTGCACCTTGTCTCAAAATTGTGGAATAAGGTGAAAAAAATATTGGAAAAGAAGCAATAAGAATCTATATTTATGGAACACAGCAAGGGGAGAAATCAACTCTTTTTTTTTTTTTATCCAAGTAGCTACTTGAAAATGCTTACATATGTTGACCTACTGCTACCTGCTCCAGCATGGTGCCATTAAGAAAAATCAAATGTACTGGAAAAGGGGACACTATGTTGGGGAAAGTTTACATATAGTAACTGCTATAAATGGGGTTTTAACTGTGGCCTTCAAGTCTAGCTTAGATGTCTACCAATACCTTCCCTGGAGACCCAGCAAGCTTTCTGTCTCTCCTGATTTATTCTTGTTAAGATTTCTTAATAAAAAAAAATGAAAAGCCAACATGCTGCAATATTCAGTAATTTCTTTAAGTCACACATAAATCCTTGAAACAGAAGACGGTGGTGGCTGATGGCAGCCAGGGATTAATTTGAAAGTGTAATCACCTATTTAAGCAGAAGGATAAAGGGAAATTGATGGTGCTTAGAGGAAAGAGCACCCTCGCCACTTTCCCTTCTGATAAATGGGTGTTCTGTCATTGAACATAACATAGATGATCCTCATTTAACAACCACTCATTCAGCGACTGTTCAAACTGATGATAGTGCTGTACAAGTGGTAGTTATAGCCCAGTGGTGGTGAACCTATGGCACGCGTGCCAGAGGCGGCACTCAGAGTCCTCTCTGTGGGCACTTCTCTGAACTGCTGGTGGCGGGCTGCAGAGCCCTAGAGTGCGCCGGTCGAGGAGCTGGCAGGCTGTGGCTGCTGATGGATACTGTCGGCCCCCATGTGCTCACTGGCCTCTGTGTGCGGGGGCCGATGGTGTCAGGCAGCAGCCGCCCTGACCCCTGCCTCGCCTTGCCCTGCGATAATGGCACCCCGCCCTGCCTCGCCTCACCCCACAGGACGAGCCTCCTGCCCACCAATCCTGCCCGGCCCCCACAGGCATCCCTCCCCACGAGCAACATCGAGGTGACTATGCCCACCTTGGCCACACCCATCCAGTCTGCCATGACCACCACAGCCACGCCCACCCAGTGGGCCACACCCACCTGGCACCCGGCAATAAATAAGTGGGTTTTGGGTTGCAGTTTGGGCACTCGGTCTCTAAAAGGTTATAGCCAGTCCTTGGACTTCTGGCTGTCATCACTTCTTGTTCCAGCAACTGGTAAAGTCAGTGGGGAAGCCAGCAGGAAATCAGAAGTGGAGATCCTGAATGATGCAACTGAACAACTAAGTGATGTAGTCACATGCACTTTATGATTGCATTGTTAGCAATGACAATTCTGGTCCCAGTTGCTGTAGTAAACTGAGGACTACCCGCAGTCTCAAAATTTCAAATGCACCTGTCTCTTTAAAAAAAATTAGAGATTCCTGCTTTAGAAAAGGGATTCATGGTGGAAACTTGATGATTTATATCCTGCTTTTCTGCCAGAGTAGATATCATGGGAGTGTGGCAGCAGGCACCATGAGACCAAAGTGTCTAAGAAGTGACATTGGATAAGGAGAAGCAGAATGAAAATGAATTAAAGAGCTGGAAATAGGCCACAATTATTATTATTATTTTTTTAAAAAAACCTCTTCTGGGCTTTTTTTTCTCCCAGTAAGATTTGTGAATCTTTGACCCAGCAATTCACTTGAGATGTGCTAAGTGCTTTTTAAGTTTTCCATTTCTTTCTCCTTCCTCCAGTCTTGTGAGCTGTTCTGAGGCAATGCGTAAAAAAAGAGAGATCACAAATAAGGTCAATGTATGAAATGGAAAAGAAGAGAATTGCTTCCATTTGCTATTGTCAATTGTTAAGATTATGTGAATCAGCCCTAACAAGGACTTCAACTGAGAAATCGTATACTCACATAATGTCAGGATCAAAATTACATCATTGCTATGTCAGTGGAATGGCCACTATACCCACATGTCCTTAACTGAAAAGGATCAAAAAAACAAACCGAAAATACCCAAGCAGCAGAAAGGCAGATATCATTCCAGTGTTCCTGGAAATGTACGTTATTGTGCCAAATACAGAGGTAGCAACTAAATGCTCAGTAACAAGAGCACCTATCCCTACATCATTACTATTCTATAATAGTCAAGACAATGCCATGGTGCCTTCAGTCCATCAGACAGTAGCTCACACGAAGATAAAGTGAAAGAGTGGGGAAGCTCATTCAGTCTTGCAAGATTCTGTTATTGCAGCTGCTCCAATAAAAGGAGTTCTAACCTATATGGCGTAGGTTTCTTAGTCTGGTCTACCTGATAGGATTGACACTAGCAGACAGGGCAAGAATGAAGAAACAAAACAGAGGCAGCCATAGCACATGCCAGCAGCAGTGTACAACCCCAGCTCTCATAATTCTCCTGACCACATCTAACCCAGTGATGGAACAGAGACTCCATCCTTCTTATCTCAGATCTTTAGTGCGCTGAATGATCTTAAGGATTGAGGCTACCGTGATTGAAATGACCACTTTGGATAGAAAACTGCATCTGGGAATTACATCTGAGCATGGTGTAGCAGCAGTTCCTTCTTCCATGGAGGAAGCAGCCACTCCCAGCCTTGTCTGGTATATAGAAGGTATATATAATGGTATATAATGCCTTTCTCCACAGGCATTTCTCCATTGCTCTTTCCTGCTGTCTCTCAAAAATAAAAGTGCAGTTTCCTGATTCTGTGCTGAGGAAGGTGGTTGAAAAGGCTATAATTCATCTGCTGATTGATTATATTCTCTCAAATCAATGATGAATCTTATCAGAGGAGATGGAATGGAGCTGGGATAGGCGCTAAGATCAGATGAATCAATATGAATTCCCCCACCGCCTGGTTATTTCAACTAACCAACTTAGTTGCTGATAGGGTATTATGTAGATAGATGCAGAAGTCAGGGAGTATCATCACAAATGGGTGGTTTACCCAGACATAATGGCTATCACAGTTTTTCTCTCACTCACTTCAGTCTTAATCCTTTTAAGGGGAGTAACTCATAAATTCAGATGCAAAACATCTGGTAACCAGTCAATCAGAAGGCAAAGATGTTTGATCTGAGTGTGTCTCTGTGTGTGAATTAAATCAAAGTCCAGCTTGCTCAGAAATTGCAGAAATAGTTTGCTATGAAGAAGAAGGAACTAGAGATAGCTAAAAGTATCTTTCTCAATCTATTAGACCTCAAGGACATCACTTGAAACTTACCTCACAAGAGCATAATCTATGTAACAAAGCAGAAGACATTTTTAAGAGAGAATTTTACAAAGTGAAGAAAGATAAAATAATTAGGCTACCTAGAGGTACTATTTTCAGAAACATTCTCTGCTGGATGAGAATTAAGAAAAAGAAGATGACTTTATGCTCTGAAAGCATCTAGCTTGCCACTATGGCGTGCAGGACCATGGACAGATCCAGGGGTGAAGAAAATTCAGAACTGGATCAAATGGAAGTCTCTAAGCCAGGGGTCTTCAAACTTGGCCCTTTTATGACTTGTGGATTTCAACTCCCAGAATTCCTCAGCCAGTGTGCCTGGCTGAGGAATTCTGGGAGTTGAAATCCACAAGTCATAAAAGGGCCAAGTTTGAAGATCCCCACTCTAAGCAATTTTCAGTAAATGGAATCCCAATTATTGAACTTTAGCAGCAACAAATGGAGTTTCGCCCTGAGAAAACCTCATTCCCACCAAATTTACAATATTAAAAAGCAGAAAATAGAAATGCAATTTTGGGTGCAAAATCTACAATGGTATTTGTTCAAGTTCTTAGTGAAAATAAATTATTGGGCTCAAAATGCTTTCATGTGTATAGCTTTTCTGTATGTCCCAATCGGTGTCTCCTACAGTTTTAATTAAACAACAACAACAAACTAAGCCTGGCCCTTCCAGGTTTAATCTGGGAGGAGTTTTTATGTACACCCTTTTCACACCTTTTGAAGACAACTATATACAAGATAGAAGGATTCCACAGACTACTGGCCAAGAAGTAGGGTAAAATGACAACAGTTAGGAAAATAGGTGAACTGTAAGCATATTGTGCCATCCCATTTCAATCAATATGTTTACTGATACTAACGACTGAGGGATCCTCTGGCTTCAAAACAGCAACACAACAATGTGCCGCAGCTGACCAGTTTTATTCATTCATATAATTGCTTCTTATTAATTGGTACTCTGCATAATAAAATAAGCACTCACCTTCACAGTCTGTCCAGCTTCAGGACCATCCTGTGGGAAGAAGTGGAAGAGAGGAAAGGAAAGTGAGGGGAGAGAATTAGATAATAACAGCCAACAAGATTCTTCTGGTCATTCAAAAAAATTCCCCATTAATAATTTAAATCTAATTTCATTGTGCATTAATTTATAGCACTCTTGTGGGGATGATCTGGCACCAAAGTACTTGGGAGCAGACACCTTTCTATTTCAGGGCCAAATCAAATGGGAAATGATGGCACAGAGAAGAAAAAGTTCTGGCGCATTTGTTCCTCTTGGCCCTGCCCATCTCAGATCACAGATGCTCTTAATAATGTTGGTGCTCATCAAGATTTATGGGGACTGTTTAGAAAAGAGTCGTTGTTGGCAAACACAATACAGTAGGATACCCTTCTCGGTTTAATATGATTTTAACAAAAGGTCTGAGGTAAGCAATGCAACCCATTCATTCACAGCTGTGTCCCAGAAGCTAAACAAACTAATCCACTTCGTGGGAGGATAAATGAGCTTTTTGTAGAAGACCCGCATTCTGTGGGCAGCTCAGAAAGCTTATTTATACTTAAATCCAACATTAAAATTAATATATGAAACTTCATTATCCTGCTCAGTCAGGATATGCTTTATAGCAGGCATGTCAAACTCGCAACATCACGTGACGTATCAGAACTTTTCCCCCATTGCCGGCAATGGGGTGGGCATGGTTTTGGCGTGATGCATCCGGCCCGTGGGCCGGCAATTTGACATGCCTGCTTTATAGCTATCATATAAAGAGTACACGAAGAACAAGGAAGCCAAGTTACATTAGAGAGACATATATTCCATCTTTATGGATGTTTATTTATTTATTTATTTATTTATATGTTTGATCTATATCAAACATATCAATGACTCCGAATGGCCTACAGTTCAGAAAATATATTACAATTAAAAATTTGATTGTATTTAAGTGTATTTAAATAAATTCAAATGTAATTCAAACATTTTAAAACAATAAAAAGAGTAAAGCCAGTAAAGAAAACATTTAAAACATTCAATTTGGCATATACCAGAGCAAGATATTTAGCCTGTTAGCAACAGAGTCAGGATATAGGGCCTTTGGCACATTCATCACCCTGATCTTCCATGGAGATTGTTATCCAGAAGTGACTAGAAACATCCTTCACGGCATTCGAGAAACGTGAAATCTGTATGACTAAAAGGCTAACAGGGTTGGGGTCATTCTGAAGGGAGGCATGTTCTTTCCTTCTGGTTCCTGCCAACTGAAATTCTTTGGCTGACGAGATGTGCAACATGTCCATTCTGTTTGAACTAGTTGGACAGATAGAGATTTTTGAAAAAGGGTGATCCTTCAGGTACGCTGGTCCCAAGCCATGTGGGATTTTATAGATAACCACCTTGATCGTGTTCAGGGTCCTATTTCCATGTAACTAAAGCACTATGTCCTGAAAGCCTCCATTTCTTCATGTGCAACCCTGATTTTCCATTATTTTGTGCATGGATTTTGTCAAAGAAATTTCAGCAGATTCCATGTACATGGGTTTCCTGAATGCCATGAAGGATGGTTCTTCAAGGCATACTTTTGGTTATCAGCCTCCATTTATGGAAGACTAAAAGGAGCTACCTAAAATTTATGGATGAGGGACCAGTTCGGTCACTCTGGAGAAGAGACAATACAAAGCCACAGTAAGATTAACTTGCTCTTTAATAGGAACATGATCTCTGAAGTTCCAGCCATTCAGGAAGATGGCATGAATTGATCTGAGTTGCTTGCTACCAGAGACTTCAATGGCATATTTTCATTTCCAAATTCACTCTTGCAATGTTCTGTGACAGAATTTATGCACTGGGATGAGGGACAAAAATCTCAGTATTGAGAGGACATTAACCAGGTCAAAGGCACTTGAGACCACTAACTTAAAATTTTCAGGAATAGGACTTGACATCTGAGAGGCAGCTTAGTCAGACTTTTTCTCCAGGTCTTAAGGCTGCTTGCCTTCTTCCTTGATGATGGTCAATCCAAGGAGAAGATGACAGCCCTCCTTTTGTCACTCATTTCATCCTGAGTGATGTCATGTAAGTAGGAGTAGCAGTACAATATTGTTGTTGATGGCAAGAGAACAGCAAAAGGGAAACTCACCACCACCATTCTTCTAGTTCTTCCTTTCTGTCCCGCAAATTAAGAAATCTCTGCAGTGAATTATAGCAACTATCATTTTTTTTGAGCTCTTTGTTTATTTTAGTATACCAACATGGAAAAGCATATTCAAAGCTGTCTTTACTGGATTTTGAGGATTGCAGGTTGCTCAACCTTGGTGACCCTAGGTAAGCCCGGAATCCTGTATGAATGTTGCAGTACATTATTGTGGTATGGTTTCTAACTCTTAAAAGCTATTTCTGCAAATGTGCAAAAACTATTCACTGCATGCATTCTTCTCTCTCTTAGGGCATTTAGAGAATTGTCTCAGAGGACATTAAATTAATTACTGAGGAGGGTTGGTTTTTTTAGAAAAAGAAAAAAAAATCTAAGCTAGCTACAATATTGACTTTTAGTCGATGTTGCTATAGCGAAGCCCACTTCACACAGGAAATTGCAGGTAGATATCTTAAGTATTATTTTTGATATTATAAACCTTAAAAAACTCTATTTTGGGAGCTTTTGTATAATTACTTATACAAGGACAAGGTAAACAATTTTTGGCTGTAATCAAATCACAGTACTAGTACTAACCTGAACTGAAATGGTGAGTGACGTTCCTCCAAAATGTTGCTCCACGACGTTGCCAACTGCTTGTGTTGTGCGAAATAAATCAGCCACTTCTTCGGGATACAAGTCCCGGAAACGCTCCACAGGGCGAAGAGGGCAAATGAGAACATCTGATTTATACAAAGTTAAGGAACAACTTTGTCTAAGGAAAATACAAGACACTCAGTTCCACAAAAATATGTAGAAGAGAACCTGTTCTTCAATAAAATTTGAAATATGAAAAGAAAGAAGGAAGGAAGGGATTATACATTTTTAAATGCTTGACTTTCTCACTGAATAAACTTTCTCCTCCTTTATCGCAAAAATAGCCCCAGGATAACAAGATTTATTTGCAAGTTAGAAAAAAAATAACATCCAGAAGTTAGGGAAAGAAGATATATACACGACTGTCTAATGTTTTGGATAAAACTCCATTTCATAGTTTTCAAATTGTATAAAAGCTTCTGCCAATGTAATTGTATGCACATCTCCTCAGAGGTAAATTCCACTGAGTACCATAAGATTTCTTGATCTAGTTAACTATATAGAGGATCACAGTGTAAATGAGTCAGGAAAATACCCAGATTTTCAGATCATTTGCACAGTTCTTTCTGAAATGCAGTATCTGTTTGAGCCCTGAAGAGGAAAAAAAGACAATCACACAGGAATGTGCATATACTGAAGTACAGTTGAACACACTTGCACAAGCTTTCACTGTCATGGAGACATTCCTGAGAAAATATAACAGAAATGTGTAAAGCTGACCTTAAATGTAATTTACTGGTCTAAAGTGAATAAATTGGGATTGAGAGTCAAATAATTGCACTGTTAAAAGCTGGGGCAACTCTTTATGTACTGCATATCTTCCACAGCCAGAACCAAAATTTATGTTGATCTAGGCACATTTAGCTTTCTTTTAGATTGTAATCAATAATTTGATTGGCATAATCAATAAACAGAGTACTTAGACTACAAGCAGCTGCATAAACTCTTAGGATCCTTGGGACATCTTCCCTTTGAAATTTTTTGGAACTTAATAAGTAAAATTCCTGGAACACAGAATACTGGTTACCATATTTCAAGCAGAATTTTCCAGAAACATTTGCTGTCTTAAGCATTTACTTGTACCATGAATTTACTTGGAAGCAATTTTTAGTCAGATCCTTGGACGTTATCCAAGTAAGCCTATATACGATTTTCACATCACCTCCAAAGAAAGTCATATTGAGTGCACTGAGACCTCTTTCCAGCTTTACATTTTAGCCCAATCCCTAGTTTTCCTTAGGAAACTAAGTCTTCCTGAACTCATTGCTATGTGTGGTAAAATAGGGTAAAACCAAGCCATATCAGACTGCAGTTTTGCACATATTGTCCACTTAGTGCAGGGGTGGGGAACTATGGCTCTTTTATGACTTGTGGACTTCAACTCCCAGAATTGGGAAATGGTGGCATGCTGGCTCACTAATTCTGGGAGTTGAAGTCCACAAGTCATAAAAGGGCCATGATTCCCCACCCGATTTAGTAAAAGCCAATCTACACAATAGGACTTATTTCAGAGTAACAAGGCCACAGCTGCTTCATAAAGGAGCCGATTGATGGAAATATGTTCAATCAAATTGAGATTAGAAAACAGCATATCTATTTTCTGCTGGGATTCCCTTTTGGATTCTGTCGCTTATTCATCTGCCTAGAGTAGAAGGAACTGCAGGGCTTAATAAGTTCCCCTCATTTATTTGCTAGTCTTTCCGGGAGGCTGCAGAAAATGCCTCCATAAATGATGCCGCCGGCTGAGCCAGGAGCCCAAAGGGAAAACAGGGAAGTTGCAGTGAGCCTTGATTTCTACACCAGGAATAAAGAAATAAGAAAACTAATTAATTTTCCTCATTAAAAAGAGGGAAGGAGCGTCAAGGCAAAAACTGGGTAGAGGCCCATTGGTTTATTTTTCAGAAGAAAAGATAGGGAGCATTTTTACCTGTGGGGGTTTGAGAAATTTAGATAATTACCCTTCTTCTGAAGCACTGCTTTATTATTATGGGTCAGTGAACCATTTACACATGGAGAATATCTTTACATTTAACCCCCAGCAAAACTGTGCCTAACATTCACTTTTACTTTCTTTTTCTTTTTTTAAATGTCCTATGGAATTCTGTCCTAGTTGCTTCATATTCTCCTTTGATATTAATACTCCACACCATTAACATCCCCAAGTAGGACTAGAATTAATGTTCACCCATTTCAAATGTCATATGGCTTTCAGAGTGTCAAAGACAATAAGAAGATAGCCAAAAGGTCCCTTGTTTCTTTTGGAAGCCAAAAAACCCCCCACCTTTTCATGGGTCACTGTATTCTTTTCCTGTACTTTCCCCCACATCCTTTGGCACAAAAAATTCACACTAAAATAGAAATACTTTTCAGTACTAGATCATTAAAAAGCATGCATTCTAAAATATATTCTCCTCTTACAATGCAAATGCTAAAATGTGTTTTGATTTTTTGTATGGGCTGAATCAAGAACGGCCCTGAAAAAAAAATAAGGAGGCAGAAAAGTCAGTGGATAATTAATTTCCAGGCAATTATTAATTACTTTCCGTTCTGATTGCCTTGCCTTCCTTAGAAATCCAGGCAATATCTCCAGGATGTCAAAGTTTAGCAAAACTGATTGGTACCATTTTTTCCCCATTTTTAAAGCTTCCTTATAGCTTCAGTACTTTCTGTAGGTTTCTATCACATTCTCAGGGTTACAAGGGCATGAAACAAGCAAGAGAGGTTTCTCAAAAATAAGGTGATTTTTTTTCAATATAAAAAAAAATCAACAGCAATACTTCATCTCATACATGGTGTCCCCTTTTCTTCTGGGCTGTAATGGTCAGGCTTCAGGGTTACTAGGTTTAACCCAATTTAAAATGGCAGGCCTGGGGATACTCATTAAATTTCATCAGACAAATAACATTGTTAAAGATTTCTGAAACCACTGTGAAAAATACTGGAAAAACAGGGCCTATTTTAAGCAATAAAAAAGAAGGGTAAGAGGAGTTGATCCTATCTTTAGCTTTGTCTATAATCATTACTGAAAAGCTCCATTGTACTCTCTATATACCTGATGCCTAATCTGGCTGATGTAAAATGCAGAGAGCACAGACAGAGAATGGGTCTAAATGAACATCTTAGCTTCTCATTTCTTTGATATATAAATTGTAAAGTGTAATTTGGGACCGTCACATACCAGATCTATTTTATATCTCTGGCAGGCGAAGCAAAGTAGCATCAATACAGGGTTTGCAATTAAAACCACTAAGCAATTTTCCTTAAATATAATTGAATACTGACATACATCACAAGCACTATGACATCATTGTGCAAAATCATATATTGATTGATTGATTTTTCACATATTTAGACTACCCATCTCCCTCAAAGAGGGAGTTTTTCATGCCCTTTGAGCAATGCTGTTGTGATGCACAAGGTGTCACTTGTTCCTGTTTGCCCTCCCTACGGATGCCTATATCGCCAGATCCACAGTATTATCTTTCTTTTTTTTTGTATAGATTTTATTAGTTTTTATAGGGTTAGGAATAAGGTGGGGTCAGGGTTGGGGTTGGGATTTGGGTTGGGGTTGGGATTTTTCCAAATAACATTCTCAATATTTAGCAAACAGCATAATGTCTGGGTTCATGTGTTTAACAAATAATAATAGGTAATAGTTAATTATTATAACCAATATGTTAATTAATCACTCAATAGCCTTCTTCTTGCTAATATATATTCAAAATTACATATCACATTCCTTTCTCTCTATGTGAGGGAGATCTGGCTGTGACATCTGTCATCCTATTGATTGCCAAGGTTGATTCGGCTGATCTGGCTGGCTAGGCGGGTGTCCCCTTCCTCCCTCACTGCTCCACGTGCGTCCCTCCCAAAGCTGCATGCTCGGTGGAAGAGGACGACCATCCCAGATAGAAGGAATGTACCGATCTTCGGTCAAGGGTATACGATAGCTACACTCCCCTGCTAGAACCTCCAAACAAGCTCAAGGTCCACAGTGTTACCTTTCTCTGCACATTTTAAATAAATATCTGTTAGTTTCTTGTGCTTTAAAGGAGACAGTGGGAGAATGATACTTTCAGACTTGCAAGATTCTGTTAATGTACTTTTACAATAAAGTAGAATTAGTTTATCTGGCCGAGTTTCCTGTCTGGTCTACCTGGTAAAGCTGACATCAATCTTGCAAGTCTGAAAGTACAATTCTCCCACCATTGTCTTTACAGTCTGAGAAACTAGAGACAATCCCTCCTGAGCTTCTTGTCCCTTCCACTCTCTGGCTTTAGGCTATGCTCTCTCTTATCTGGCTGTTCCCTCTGTGGCATCTCTTCATCCCATCTCCCAAGGTCTTTCCCACACACCATTACATATAGCCCTACATGTATTCTGCATGTATCATGGCCTCCAGAATAGAAAATACACTCCCCAAGAAGATACTTTTGATTTAAATTCCCCCATTATGTAGAAATATGGTACTTGCACATCTCTTTTGCCAAGCTCTTTACTGTCAATAATTGGTTTGCAGATTGATTTTAATTGTATTTATTTTGTTTTATACCTATGTACTTTTTAATTGTTGTAAGCAGCTAAAAAGAAAAATGGCAAAGAAAAGAAATGTAGCAAATGAAATGACTGGATGAATGAATGAATGAATGAATGAATGAATGATGTAGAGCATAATTTCTTTGCCTTTTTTTCTTCAATGGAAAAAGATAAAGATTGTCATGACTTTAATACAAGCTACATACCAAAGAAAAACTGGGAGAAACAAACTAAAACCCTCAATATATAATAATACACTGATGCCACAGAGAGGAAGTTATTTTATAGGGGCCAGCCTATTCTCTGCTCTCGAGTGAAGCAAATCAGTAAATGGCCCTAAATCTTGGGAAGTGGATACATCAAATAGTTGATATTCTGTCAGACAAATAAAGGCCCGTCTGCCTTTTTCTACTACCTGGCATTCTTTCAATCTATCACGTTATTTTCCTTCTGCCGGAACTAATTTCATGCTTGTCTACACAAATTGCCATGGTATCAGAACAAGGAAGGTTTCAGTATGTTTACAGTGATGTTGCTCTGGCCCCATATAACTCACCAGCGATGTCAGCGAAGTCAGCAATTCAGACTTCCAACTTTTTGTGCAGATGTGTTGGTTTGTATTGGTCTGGATTCCCAGGAAGGAGAGGATGCATTTCAGAGGAGTAAGAGACAGCTCAGTTCAGATAGTTTGTGTGAGAGGAAAGGGATGAAGATAGTCTCTCCCAAAGTTCCCAAAGTATATGCTTCATGTAGGTAGTAGAGTGCTTTATTCTGGCAAGATTCTGTCTATAGGTGTGGAACAATAAAGAACTTTGCTTTGGAAGAATCACATGTCTTTCTTGGTTTTGAGGGCCTGACAGCAACTCATCCATCATTAAAACTGTTCAGTAATATTATCATTCATAAACTTGGGTGGCTGACTAGGCCTCAACAACTTATCAAGGCTTCTGGATATCTCTGCCCTCCCTGTTTAAGTCTAGATGCCCTTGAAATTCCAACCAACTGTGCCCTGAGGTCTGTGAGAAATTAAAAATTATTTATTTTATTTCAATGTATTTATTTTTTACATTTTTGAACCACCCATCTCCCACAGAGAGGGATTTTTATTTACTTAATGTATTCATGTGATATATCCCCAGTCTATGAACCAACCATACAATAACGAGTAAAAGAACATTATAATTTCAATAATTAAAATAACCTTAAAACTGAATGATATTTTGATTATTATGAGTTGTAAATTATGTTATGATGTGCTTCCCAATTTCAATGGGACAATTTGGGGTGGGGGCTTGGGAGCTTTTATGAAATCTATGTATTGTCCATTATCCTACAGTTCACATTCTGATAGAAGAGAATATTTGTAGTTCAGGGTTAAAATGAGGGGTCTTTGGTCCTCCCTGAGCTTGGTTGAAACCAGCAACGCTAACGGGGCAAGCCACTAGAATATAAACTGAGAGCAAACTGACCCCAGTGGTGGGATTCAGCCGGTTCGCACCAGTTTGGTAAAACCAGTAACGAATTTTTTGTTGACTTTGATGAACCGGCTGATGCCCTAGCCCAGGGGTAGGCAACCCAAAACACTCAAAGAGCCACTTGGACCCCATTTCCCACCAAAAACAAAACACTGGGAGCCGCAAAA